AAGTCACAAATACTGAGGCATTCTTTGGAATGTGTCTTGTTAAAATTTACTTTACAGCTGTTTATCTAATAATGCTAAATTGTGGTCAACCAAGAATAGACAGCAGCAACTTGAAAATATGGCATTCAAAAAACATACGAAGACAATTAAAATGATGACATGAGTTTCTGTTCCGCTGAATTAAGCAACCAAATATAATGTTTGATCGTATACATTATACTACATGTAACAATGTTAGGCAGCAAATGCAGGTTCACTTGGCGTCGCTGAGTTTGTACTTCCAACTCCCGCAGCAAACAAAATGATATATTTCTCAAGCAAATTAATGAAACCCGTAGAGCCAGCCTAAAAACCGTGGTAACTGTTTTATCATGTTTCAGAAAGTTTAAGTATTTGCTATCAACCTTCAATTGTCCCTTGCGATGATAACGCCTGTAAAATGAACTTAAAATGAACCGCACTTGCCAAAACATTACTACGGACCATTTCAAGCAGAAGGTACTGTGTGTGAAACTGTCTATCTTATGATGACAAGCTATACATATCGACATATACTGGTACATATGTATTTGCCGAATGACCGTTACCTGATGAAGGGTTTCTACAATATTTTATTAGAAACATTTTTCTAAACGGTGACTTGTGAATGTTAGTTTAAAGGAGGGGTATCAAAATATCAGTACCATATCTACCTTATATCAAATAAAAATTAAACAAACATCATGGAATCAGTAAGCGCACGTTAAATAACTTTTAATTTTTGAATTTTAGATTTGCCAGAGAGAGGCATCGCTAAAGTGAAAGACCTTTCCCCTTTACTATGAAAAAAAGGGGAAAAAAACCTTTCAGTGAAATGAAATGAAATAAAGCTTCCAAAATAAGGGAATATTTGTGACTCTAGGCCCTGATTGATGAAAAAAATAAGCAAAAAGAACTTCCGAGCGGAATACATGAATTTTCTTTTTAATTTTGTTCAGCAATTACTCACTTGAATACTGAATAGGTGTTTGTCCTTTTTGTATTTCTAGTTATGATTGTCTTAATCACTTCTTGCTCAGGAATATCCAGTTTAATATTGTCAATATTTGATATAATTTCTATCATGAATGAGCAAATATTTTGCAAAAGAGATAACTTTTAATGTAAACTATATAATTAAGATGTACCTGCTGCTAATGGAAATGGTCAACATCCTTCATTTGAAAACAAATTCTGAGAGATGAAATGATTCCGTTTGTACAATGATTCAAAATCATTGTATTGTAAAATAGAAACAACGTTTACATTTGCCATTCTCAAAATTCTAAATCGTGTACATGTTTATTCTTGTACCGATTTGACGAAAAAATATTCTGACACGTGTGGTGTCAATGGAATTACATTTGGAAGGCACAACGTTTGACACAATTAGTAACAATGATTACAGTTAGACATTGCTAAGTAACAATTATTACAGGAAGACATTGCTAAGTAACAATGATTACAGGAAGACATTGCTAAGTAACAATGATTACAGCAAGACATTGCTAAGTAACAATGATTACAGCAAGACATTGCTAAGTAACAATTACAGCAAGACATTGCTAAGTAACAATTATTACAGCAAGACATTGATAAGTAACAATAATTACAGCAAGACATTGCTAAGTAACAATGATTACAGCAAGACATTGCTAAGTAACAATGATTACAGCAAGACATTGCTAAGTAACAATGATTACAGTAAGACATTTCTAATAAACACGTATACTCTATAAAGCAACACTGTTTTCACTAATTAATATTTCAATTAAATGTAGAAAACAAATGAGTTAAGCTTCATCCGTCTTTGCAAGAGAATTGTTAGCTGTTTAATGTATATTGTAAGAGAAAAAAAGTTTTTTTTTTTTTTTTATAAATGTAAGCGACACTTATAGAATTGGTTCGTTGCCAGCTGCGTGCATATACCGTATACGCCGTTAAAATGAAGGTAAATAATTTAATACTGCAAACATTAGGAAAATACTATTAGCGATATGTTATGACATACTATAGAATATCAGTTAGGTAAGAGATATAGGTGCTAAGCCGGAGTCCATGTCTGCTATGGTTTTGAACACCTCTACAATCCTACGGTGCCTCTGACCAACTACATAACAAATACATCAAATGTATGACCCTTCCAGACGTGCTCTTCCTTCAGGCGATGGAACGAATAAAACGTCCTATATACGTATTTTAATCATGTAGATTGATTTGAACATGCACATGCTCTGACTCAGTAAATATACAGAGCCATTTATGTACTGCTGTTCGCTTAATGGTCGGGTAAATAAAACTATGCTTATGAGAGTATCAATTTGATTACCATTTCAGCGAAAGGCATATTTACGCTGTATTCTGAACTGAAGTGTACACGTAGAACTACTTCCTGGCTATGCAAATGACGATATAATACAAGTAACGTATATCAAATCGCCTCCTGAATCTTGGCATATACCCAAAGAGTCATCGTGTGACTGTTCTTGGCCAATAAATAAACAGCATTTCTGCCCAAGATACAACAATCTTCCATGCGGAACAGGTACAGTATATCTAAAATTGTTCGAAGCAAATCTTGCGCTTTTTAAGGACAATCCCATGTAGTCTGAATTAAATCAGCGTGAAGTTTGTTACGTATTCAATATTGAATAAGTAACTGACTTCACGCTGATCTGAATAACTCATACACGTGTTTCAAAAGGAAAATACAGTAAAATGGATATTTTCGCGGTAAGGAAATGTTCGAATTTTCGCGTTGATTATGTTAGCGCGAAAATATAAACACGCTAATATTAATTGATGATATCAATAGATTATTAACATGTAGAATATGAAAATCTCTGAACCATTGACAACGCCCAAAGTTTCCACACTGCGATCTTCTATAATCGTCATAACGAGAACAATTCCGCACACGGAAATTTCGAATTTTACAGTAAATGAAATTCAATTGCAAACATAACATAACGGTATAATAACAACTGGGTTGTGTATATATAACTACAATGTAACAAAATGATGCGCGCGTCCTTACATAAACTTAGTTGATCAAAGGGCTATGAATTCAATAACTCAACCAACTAAAGGATATGCATGAGATTACTACATAGTAACATTGTTTTAACAAAAAGTTTTAACATGTTATGAACAGCATTTATGATACCGGGACTGGGAATATATAAAAAAAAGTAATACACATCTTTTTGTAAATTACATACCAACTGATGATACGGCGACAACGTATATACTGGTCAAATAATATAAGTCCTACATGTACTGTGTGACTGAATGGTTAAAACGTCATGAAGTAATTTGATAAATTTTGATTAAAATATATTTATCGAACAACATTTATGAAACACGTTTCTAAACTTGTAAAATTCACTCCTGTTGGCCTGGTCCCGGTTGTTCAGAATTGGGTGAACGTTAAACAAATGTCAGTGAATAAAATTTGTTGCCACTTAACGTTAAAGGTTTTCAAAGCAGAACAAACCTTCAAAACACGTCAACACGACGTATCTCAGCAAATCTTCAGCCGTGAAATAATATCAGTTGCTCTAAATTTTGTTGTATTCATATTTCAAATGATATTTGAATTGAGCATCCGGGGCCAGGACGGGGGCATGCAGATGTCTAAATACGGAAGGAAACTGTAGTCCAAGGGGAAAACCAATCTAGTCGGGCACGTGAACCCATTCCTTTTCACGTCCGATACGGGAATTGGACCTAGGCCGTTTTGGATGAAAGGCGAGTATTCCATCCACTGTATCACCCGACCACCAAGGGCGCGTTTTAAGTATATTGTTCTAATAAACTTGGCAGTTTATGTTGGTCTGACTATAAAGGTTTTGTATTATCTGAAATCAATGTAAAAGAGAGAAAAAAATGCTTTCACAGGCGTACGTTAAAGGTCAACTGAAGTAGAAAAAGCTGTATTTCATATCGCATTAAAGCTTAGAATTCTAACGCTTGGAAGAATTATCTCGATGAGGACAAAACCATTTTCTTTACATGGACATTTTTTCGTGAAAATAAAATTCTACAAGTCACAACCGAAATCCCTAAAGGAAATCACACCTTAACACGTTACATATTTAAAGCAGATAAACATTCTGCTATCTTCAAACCGCTGATCTTAAATAGATTAAATTGATCCAGGCATGACTGAAGGTGCCTCATTATAAAGGCCGTCGTCACCGTGATGGGAACAAAGCCATCTTCACGCCAACTTACATTGTGTAAAATCAGTCATGAAACAATCGATGCGGATATAGTTTTTCGCTTAAAATGATACATATGGGACAAAGTCTGACATATTCATGAAACACATCAGGCAGAATCAAATGGCATCAAACACCATCATGTTCAGCTAGAAAAAAAACATCGATTATGTACATAAATATGTTTGTCAGTAGAAAAGATCTCTTCTTTCGTCCGCCTGCTCTGTTGATTCAAAAAAAGAAGAAGATAAATAATGATAATCCAAACACATCGCCCGTACTCTTATATAGACGTCGTCGTTTATCATTTTGTCCTGCTTGGACAATAACAGTTTTTGTTTCATATTGAGCATACCAGCCCTCTCACTCCCGTATGATCTCTCATTGTTTCGTATCTTTCACGAACGTTGAAATGAATAGAACATTCTATTCATTATTCCGACCTAGCCGTACTGCATTCTCGCGTTAAAAATCTCACTTAACCTCCTTCAAACCTGTTTTAGCTGCCTTATATCAAAACCCCACTGTTGCAATCTTCTGTAGCAAGTCAACGGAAGCATACTTTTCTTTTCTTTGCCGTCTTGAACGTAACATTACATTAGTACTGAACATCACACTGTCTTGGCGTTTCGGCTATACAAAACTGTTCACATTCCCATCTACTTATTTTAGCACAACAGACCACAACTTTCTCGAATTGTTAATACACCATTGTGTCGTGGGGTACAGCTGTACATGTACGTTTGGGTCAATGTTTTACTTGTTTCAAGTGTTGCATGTGTGTTGTCACGGCCGTCGTCTGCAACTGTGAACGCACCGCCTGATACATTTTAGCCGACTTACTCTGAATGTTGTCGCACGCTATTTCCATCAGACAGTCGCGGAACTGTCGACTCATCGCGCAGTACATGCAAAAGTTTGCGGAACTGTTTATCAGCGACATCAGATCCAAAGTATCTGCAAAACAGTAGATACGTTTCTTCCATGAAGTTCTCCACACACAGACACAACACAACCAAAATGGAGGACGGCAGTTGTGTGACGATGTACATGACAATGATGGCCAGCAACATGATAGTCGTCCTCTTGTGTTGTTTGAGACGGTTTGCACATTGCGCACCTTTTAGTGTTAGCGTCCTTTTCTTACTCTCGTGCAAACTACGTAGTAGTAGACCGCCAAAAATAGATATCAATATACACGGGAACACATTTCCTATCAAAATGAATACCCAGGCTGCCGTTTTCTGTAGCCATGTCGTGTCGCTGGCACCAAGCTTATTTAGACCTGTTAACACAAGGGATCCATTATTGTTGTGAACCTTTATTATGATATACTGTGGTAGGTAACAGAGGACTGTACATGCATACACTACTACCACAAGAATAACGGAGTTTTTTACCTTCATAATGGACTTATTATTTCCCATTGACCGAATGTAGATATAACGCACCACCGCCATACAGACGCCGAGCCAGATGGAAATTGTATGGGTGGTTGTACTGAGACCCGCGTGTACGGCCATGTACCACCCCCAGCCATACGTGTACTTATCCTTGGTGCGCTCTAGACCGTGCATGATGTAGAAATGTATGCTGTAGGGCATGTAACAGAGCATGGTCAACACATCAGCTATTGCTATTCCAGCAAGAATACAATTGATGGGTGAGCGCAGGTTTTTCCGGGTTAGGATCACAATGTTCACGATGTTTGTAGGTACACCGAAACAACAGATGATCAGACTGGCGTATCCGTGTATGGAAAAGATAAAACAAGCGTACGCTAGTAGGCCCTCCGTGTGCGATCCACACTCATCAGAACGACCGGTCATATTGGTTTCGTTGCTAAAATTCATGTTTGGGAATTCCGGGTCGGTCCAATAGAAATGGCGTTATCTGTAAAAGAAGGAGAAAAAAGTGTCATTGTTCAAATTTTAGTAAAACTTTATGAAATTGCACTATAATTTTGCATGCTGATACCGTAAAACAAGGTTTAACACATATGTAAAGATCAATTGTAAAAATTCGTTTAGTTTGATTTCGTATAAGAAAGATTTAATTCAATGAAGTGACCGCGATGGCCTAGTGGTTAAGGCGTCTGACATTCTGCTACCAGTAATCATCCACCACTAGGTCGTGGGTTCGAGGCCTACGTGGGGCAGTTGCCAGGTACTGGCCCGTAGGTCAGTGGTTTTTCTCCGGGAACTCGAGCTTTTGAACAAACCAAATTATTCAATTTTGTGGAAATATAATTTTAAAGCACTGTTGTCATCCCATCCACTAATGTAATCCAGTTATATACGTATGTACGTTAGGCGTACATACAATAATAAATAATAATCTTTATTTAACGTCGTGTACAATTGTCAACAACAAACATAAGCTCTGTAGAGCTTTTATTACGACGCCGCTAAGGAAACAAATGGTGTTTTCGTGCTGGAGGAAAACCCACTAGGGGAAAACCACAGTGCACTCGCAGGGATAACAACTAACCCTATCAGACATCACTCTTTTTTTTTCCACCACTGCTTGGGATCGAACCGAAATTCTTGGGAGAGCGAGTGGTCTGAAGCTCACGCTTGATAGCACACAGTAGTACAATGACTGTGCGCGTTAGCGATCACGGCTACCGAGGCACACAAGGGCACAGTCAGAACTCATGTGAAATGTGCGAAGAGAACAACAGGCAGAGAGGAGACAAGACACTAAGCAAAGGAAACACAAGAGTCCAAACAAAGTAGGAGGCGAGATCATGTCATAAACTCATTCACCCCTAAAATTATGTAATGAACTATTCCAACCATTGAATAGGAGGATTTCAAATGTGTCTTCAGGGGTGAATGAGTTAAAGAGGTTTAAAACTTGTACCACATATGGCAGTCGTTGAGACGTATCCGTGTATGTTGCTACTGAGGAACGGAATGATGAAAATATACAAATTGAAGCATCCGAGACATGAGTTCACCGTATGGTCGGAACCTGTGCTTGTGGGTGTCTGATATCTGTGTACAGTATTTACGTGTTTTATGTGCAAAGCAGATATAACCTCATCTCATCAATATCAGTCTATGGTTGACAGATGTCAGATGTGTTAGTTTTAAATTCTACAGGTTTCAAATTCATGCATTTTAAAAAGTTCGCGTGGACAACAATTGAAACGTTCCAACATCATATTACATGTACATTTTAACTGCCATTACTTTTCAACACAATACACGGGCCAGATAATAAATAAAACATGATAAAAAGTCCGTGCATCGAATAAATATTTCATTGAAAGGTGTATGCATCTCTGTAGTCATGTAACACGTTGTGTCGACTGTAGGACGATTAATAGGCAAAGAACAATGGATTTGTTGTAACTGAAAACCATCAATCAAATATANTGACAATCTCATAAAATAAACAAATTGACGAGTATCAAACTAAGCGGTGACTTTTGCTGGGGTTGTTTTTGTTTTTCTCACAGGTTGACTCTTTGTCATTTAAACGCCTATTAATCTCTATTTTTATTGTTTGCATTTTACATAAATGCACGAGGCGTTTTGTGCACACAATTATTCCTGTTAATCCTATAACACAAAAACAATTCATAATTTGACATAAAACAAACAATACTCTTTAGTTCATAACAATGAATAGATATTTAATTCTGATAAAAACAGTATGCAGTAAATCAGAACGTAGAATTACAAATTCTGCGCCAATTTCGGTATACGATATCATCACTTTTTGTGTTGTATATTTTTTTTAGGTTATACACGATATAAACTGAATAAGTTAAGCATTTGGGAAATACCAAAAATTCAAATCATATATGTATATCGTCAGTATCACTACAACATAGCAGAATCATTATACAATTCGCTGTCCTGTAGTATCACTGTAGCGTGCTAGGCCGGTGCAATGCGTCGGCCTCTGCCGTTGTTGTCTGTCCATGTTGTGTTAGATTTTTTATTGTTGCAATATTGCTTTTGCATGCCTTTTCCATAAGAGACAAAGTACATCTCAATGTTTGTGTCAATCCGTTGAATTATTTCCCGAGTTCTGGAGTTGAACCCGTAGCCAGCAAGGCGCCGGTATTCAAGCGCTTGTAAGCAGATAGATATATACGTATACCTGAGCGAGTTTTATTTTATACAATGATAGAACCATTCCATTTTAATCAATATACACATGTATAGTTGCATGACGTCACATCCTTTCTGATAACAGAGCTCCAGACTGACAATACAATTTTATCTGATTAATTCCTTTGGGATATCGGGTCGGGAAACACATCCAAAGTGATGAGTTAAATGATGCATTTTTGTTCGGTGTTTATTGGATGTTTATTAATAGCTGTTGTTGTTGTTGTTGACATCGCTTTAGTCGGTTATTGCACTGCATGTACATGTACATGTATAACGACGGACGTCTGTGTTGTTACAGTAATTTGTTTGGTATATTATACAATATTTCTATATATTTTCATTAGTTTTATGAACTTCCTCGTTTATATCAATTTTGTCGAGGAAACATGCATTAAAATAACCCGATGTCAAGCAGCTAGGTTTATGGCAATTGTAAGAAACTTAAAATAAAATAAAACAAAAATAAAAATTACACAATGCTTCCATTACTTTTCGCTGCAACAAAAACGAATAAGATCGTGAGAAATATGTATATATATATTAAATAACGCAAGTCACAGGAAATGACATCATGAGAAAAGATAATCAGGATTCATAGACACAAAATATACGCGCGCTATATGAAATCCGTCTGTTTTGAATAATACCTGTTGTTTATAGCTTAATAACACGCATGTCTCCCTGTCAAACCTAGTGTAGACCATAAGGGCTAGACAGGAAGAATTTATAAAATAACGTTTTTAATGTTCCTAAAATTTGAGAAAATAACCCGAAATTTATATCTGATAACTCGAAATTTCGATAACTACATGTATCGAAATATCGAGTTACATGTTGTAAAATGAAAAAAAACGAGGATTTCTACGTCACCCTAAGGATCTTCCGTACAAGCTGGAGGCGTACAGATATCACGTATTAAAACAATAAACGCAAGGGCAGAGCATGGTTTATATGAAGAAATGACAGCTACCGTTGAATGTACGGAGGATATTGGATCTGATATCTATACAGTTTCAACCAGCAGTGTACCGTAGCACATAACCATCGGTGCTTATAGAAAATCGCTGTTAAAATCAAATTAAAATCTCATTTGAAAATCTGGCCCCTACCAGTAAAATGAGGGGTGTAATTATACTCATAAAATCAAAACAGCGTGTTTCCCCTATATCTCGAATAATCTAATCAAACATCGGTGCAATAGTCATTTAGGTCTGTCCGGAATCCAATAAATTTGTGCGCATTTCAAATTCAACAAAAATAAACAAACTGATCTTTATTTAACTTGTTTCGAATTTATCAGATCACCTCGTGTGATACGCAAAATTAACAAATGAAAAATCCAATTAATATCAAATATTGATACAGCATGTCTCATATATCATAAAGAACAAGTCGTGTGATCCATGAAAGTGTACATTACACCACTGAGAACACACAGCCTGTCGTTGATTCTAGTTTACCAGTACAAACAACACAGGGACAATCCTTGGTTTTAGTTTGCATGTTTACGCAACATAAAGACGAACCTTGGTTTATGTTTACCATTAAAAACAACACAGGGACAATCCTTGGTTTTAGTTTGCCATTAAAAACAACACAAAGACAATCCTTGGTTTTAGTTTGCCATTAAAAACAACACAGAGACAATCCTTGGTTTTAGTTTGCCAGTACAAACAACACAGAGACAATCCTTGGCTTTAGTTTGCCATTAAAAACAACACAGAGACAATCCTTGGTTTTAGTTTGCCATTAAAAACAACACAGGGACAATCCTTGGTTTTAGTTTGCCATTAAAAACAACACAGAGACAATCCTTGGTTTTAGTTTGCCATTAAAAACAACACAGGGACAATTATTGGTTTTAATTTGCCAATACAAACAACACAGAGACAATCATAGGTTTTAGTTTACCATTAAAAACAACACAGAGACAATCCTTGGTTTTAGTTTGCCGTTGAAAACAACACAGGGACAATCCTTGGTTTTAGTTTGCCATTAAAAACAACACAGGGACAATTATTGGTTTTAATTTGCCAATACAAACAACACAGATACAATCATAGGTTTTAGTTTACCATTAAAAACAACACAGAGACAATCCTTGGTTTAAGTTTGCCATTAAAAACAACACAGGGTCAATCCTTGGTTTTAGTTTGCCATTAAAAACAACACAGAGACAATCCTTGGGTTTAGTTTGCCGTTGAAAACAACACAGGGACAATCCTTGGTTTTAGTTTGCCATTAAAAACAACACAGAAACAATACTTCGTTTTAGCTTGCCATTAAAAACAACACAGAAACAATCCTTGGTTTTAGTTTGCCATTAAAAACAACACAGAGAAAATCCTTGGTTTTAGTTTGCCATTACAAACAGCACAGAAACAATCCTTGCTTTTAGTTTGCCATTAAAAACAACACCGGGACAATTATTGGTTTTAATTTGCCAGTACAAACAACACAGAGACAATCATAGGTTTTAGTTTACTATTAAAAACAACACAGAGACAATCCTTGGTTTTAGTTTGCCGTTGAAAACAACACAGGGACAATCCTTGGTTTTAGTTTGCCATTACAAACAACACAGAATCAATACTTCGTTTTAGCTTGCCATAAAAAACAACACAGAGACAATCCTTGGTTTTAGTTTGCAATTAAAAACATCCTTGGTTTTAGTTTGCCATTAAAAACAACACAGAGCAATACTTCGTTTTAATTTGTCAGTACAAACAACACAGAATCAATACCTCGTTTTAGATTGGCGGT